TTGCTGTTTCCTGTACATCCATGGCGCTGTCGTGGGTGAAGTTATCTAGCTCGAAGGACCAATATTGGGGAATCTTATGTTGTGCGATGTTTGCGCCGGAGTCGCTTCATCCAGAAACAGCACTCCGTTTAGAGAGTTCACACGGAGACAAGGAATACAGTCTTTGGACTTTAATTAGCTTGAATGCTTCTTACAACAGCTATAGCAGTATTGAATCATGAATGCATGTAGAATGATTGCATCATTTATTCTTCACGGACGCACATGGTAAACAAACCGCTCGAGGACCCGCAGCTGCCCACTCCAGCTGTCCCCAAATGTGCCCGACCAAAAAACACAAACGATACAACGCAGACTAAAGAAAACAAGGGGAATTTACAACACCTATAGTCCACCCACGAACTATAAGATCCTTTAGTTTTTTAAGAAACTAAAAAAACTGGCCTCATAGTTTGAACCACAAACTACTTATACCCAAGGCCTCTAGTTTGAAACCACAAACCATTTACTTAGATAAGTTTACCTGTGTCTTTCTAGGACTTTTTTGGTATCCTTCCGTGAACCAAGGGGTTGAAACCAAAACGGTGCCTGTATTGACTTTCTCTCCTGTGTTGGTAGTTCAAGGATCCGTCACTCCTCTCCTCTCCAGCGTAACCTGGCCCCCCTATTTACCAAATTGTTTCTTTAAGGGAAACAAGGTAGGGGTCTTTTTCTAAGAGTCTCTCGACTCCCTGTGCACAGTGTCAGGCTCGTTTGTCCGGAGAAAAAAGGAGATCTTGGATCCGTTGTCAGTACCAGATATGTTCGGGCTACCAGATATGTTCGGGTGTATTTCCGTCGCATCCGTCATCCGTCATATCCGTCTACTCACCTCCCTCTGCTCCCAGCGCTCTGCTGCCACACACCCGCCGTCTGCGGAACTGCAGCCGGAGGAACTCGGTACAGCTTGTTATGTGTGTGTACTTGTGCACATAAATAATGTTTCTAATTATTTACAATTAAAAAATATATATATTCTGCGTTACTTTAGCCAACACTTTTATAATATATAAGCCTGATCATGTCGTTGAAAGCAAGTACAGATATTCTCCCTTTTCCACAGTTATGTGTGAACTTCATCTAAGGCAGATGCTTTGCTTCTGCACCAGTTTAGCAGAAGTCTGTTTTGTAAGACTGGTTTTGTTGCAGTCTGTTCATGCTATGTGTTTCTTGCGTAAGACTATATACACACAGAACACATGTATTACAGGGCTGTACCCGGTGTGCTTCATAAAACATTTTTGAAGCTTATTTTTTTTAAATTAAGCCGTTTCCATGTTATAACAGCATCTCGTTAAATCAATATCGGAAACAATAATTGTTTTTTTGTGGTTGTTGAAATGTAATTTATGGTGCTGTTAGAGTGCTTATAGACTGACCCGTTAATACAGATGCCCCCCCCCCCCCCCCCCCTTTGTGTGCGGTGAGCTGGAGAGAAGGCAGTCTATTTATTGTGGTGAAAATGTTGTTTTAAAAAAACCCTAACATATATGGATTGAATCAGAATATTGTGTTGGATCAAAATATATTGTACATTTTGAGAATTCTTACATCTATTACAATACATTTTGAGCTTTGGACAATGTTTGGATCAAACGAGCCAGAAACAACCTTAAGCAGCCACCACTGGAATATTATTGCAGTAATATTATAATACTAGTAGCCTTATATTAGTGTAGCCTAATATTGATTGACAAATATTTAGAAATAAATCTGGTTCTGCCTGCCTGCCTCATCGCACTCTGCCCTGCTGCATTACCATGTCTAGTATTTACATTCATAATGATCCTTTTTTTTGCAGAGCTTTAGAGGCTTTAAGAGACGAACTGTCAATGATGCCAACTTGGCGACCTACAAACTAGATATAGCAATCTTGGAGCTATTGCGGCTAGCTACTTTCATTGGAAAGAATTTCGCGGTCATTATGGGGAAGCGGAGGGATCTAGATCGTTCACACATAACAAGCTGTACCGAGTTCCTCCGGCTGCAGTTCCGCAGACGGCCGGTGTGTGGCAGCAGAGCGCTGGGAGCAGAGGGAGGTGAGTAGACGGATATGACGGATGCGACGGAAATACACCCGAACATATCTGGTAGCCCGAACATATCTGGTACTGACACCGGCTCGAAGGACCAATATGTTAGAAAAATATCACTCGACACCAGGTTGAGAATCAATGATCAGGTAACTAATTTATTCTTGCAAGAAGGAACAGAGTTAAATCACATACAAAGAATATGGTTTAACTCACACACATGGGGTATGTTGCTCAAAGGAACAGCAAAAAACATCAGGCTTATATAGTCCAAAACACAGGAGATAATAACAAAGTCGTAAATCGAGGTGGCGCTAATATCAGCCGCGGGTGTCGGAAAGTCGGGTCATCTGCGATGGGTCATCTCCTGTGACGTCTTCTAGAAAGAGTCAAGTACTTCCTTCACGCTTCATAGAAATTAGATATTTAGGAGACAGCAAGTCTGTCTTCTCATAAATATCAACAACCTGAAATGCCCTGCCTCCTCCTATCACAAGAAGAGGCAGCTGCAAGGTCATACACAGTTCAGAGCCACACATGATATCAGTGCATTAAAACAACCCAAAGAGTGGAGAAAACAGTATTTCTCCAACAATCGTTCAATACGCTGGTTTCCAGCGCTTGGACCAAAGGTTACATTGTCTGTTTCAGCTTGGTTCTCAGAAAAATGCAAAAACTGCTGCATTTCAGCCATATGGCCATTTTCTGTTCCTAAATCAAGTTTGAGTCTGCGGCAGGACACCCACCAGCATTGATAACAGCATCAATAAAGTAGCCAGCGATGATATTCGGGTCTTTGTTTGTTTTGGCTTCAAGCCATATCATCTTTCTGGAAAACCCGTCAATGCATCCACTGATTGCAATTCCAAATGACTTAAGCTTGTCGTAACCATCAATGTGCCATACCACATTCATTTGGTATATACCACAGCTGTGGTAGATGCGCCTTCACAGTCTGTTTCTTGACCTCAGATCAACACCTTCACCATCCAATAACTGTAGCAGTATTCTCACTGTTTCTCTGTCAGTCACAATTCCATGTTGCCAACATTTGTGGTGCATCCATCTGTAACCATGACACTGACCAGATGTTTCCAGTTGCTGTTCAATGAAGATTGCCACCTCAGCCACATCGGTTTTATTCTTTCGACGCCAGAGCTGCTTCTTGCTTAAAATCCTTTCAAGGGTGCGTTTGCTTAGTACAACTCCATGTGAATCAGCAAGCAAATTAAGTATTTCATCTGTTGTAAATCCACGTTTAAAGTTGTCCTCAATGTACTCACAATCCATTTCCGTGTCAAGATAAATAGGAGAACTCGAGCCAAAGAGCTGCTAGTTTGTCTGTTGTGACAAAGTATCTCATAATGACTTTTTATCTCATTATTATGACTTTTTATCTCATAATTTCGACTTTCTTATCTCATAATTATGACTTTTCATGGGGATTTAATTTTTTTCAAGTGGCGGAAATGGGCTTCCATACTGTAAAAAGCACGACCAATCATTTTAGCCGGCCCGGCTAAAATAACTGGATGGCCTACCTGCCTGTCAGCCTTCCATCTGTGCACAAACTTATCTCGTGCCCTCATTGGTCATGTGCGCGTTCGTGTGTGTTGGAAGAGGGGCTCTGTAAGGAAGGGGCAGGTAAATGTGCTGGTATTTAAATGTTGATCAATACTTTGAGAATGTGTGATGTCTTTATTATCTGATGATTGGCATGTGTGAACCTGCCCAGGGACAGCAGATGGTCATAAGCTAATAGCTAAATGTTGCATTATGTGTCTCTTTTTCGAGATAAACATTTTTGTATGCATGTTCCTCGTTTAAAAGGGACTAATAAAAGGAATCTGGTAGTTACCCACTACTTCCCTGAACTCAATGTTTGCAGCCAGGCAAACATTAACTAGCAAGCTTAATTAAATAGAGGTTAACTTCAGGAGGAAGTTATAATTGACATATAAGTCATTATTAAGCTGTCTCATCACTGTAGTGTTAACAGTTTAACTCACCAGTACCTCCCTGTGTACCTCTCACCTGCTGACCGTTTCAACGTATATTCTTCCAAGACTGACTTCCTCTCCTCTGTGTGTGTGTGTGTGTGTGTGTGTGTGTGTGTGTGTGTGTGTGTGTGTGTGTGTGTGTGTGTTGGACCACGTCTTATCGTGGTCCAACAGACGTGGTCCTAAAAGCAGTTTTTGTTGTTGTTGTTATTCTTATAATTTGAAACATAAATGTTTGTTATAAATGTAAAGTACTTTGAGCTGCATGTATTTTATGAAAGGTGCTCTACAAATTCAGTTGATTATTATTACTATATATTACTATTTTTTTTTTTTCTTCTGATTCTGACTTATTATAACCACATAGTCTATCTATGGTATTATACACACCATAACTAGAGAAAATGTCACAAATGCTAACTTAAACTACAAAAAACTGGCTAAACACAAAAACATTTAAGTCCCTTAAAAGTGTACAAATGTTACTGTGGTGGAAATAACTCACACAAATAAAGATTCAAATCAACAGATTGTCTTTCAGTAATACGCTTTTTCTGCGCAGAATAGAACCAAATATTATAGTCACATGTTCACGGCAAGAGTCTGTAAAGTCTTAATCAAGATTGCTTGTGTTTTATCTGGTAGCTAAATTGAAGCTGTTGAAACACCTGCATATTTTAAACTGCCCACCAAGTGCAAAAACAACTCACTCAGGTAATACGAAGCTACACAGTTAGTTGTAAATTTGAAAACATGCGTTGTTTTATTTATGTGGGAAAGAAGGACTTAGTACTTTCCCACTCTCATGTAAAAGACACTTGAATACGCCAACACATTAACATTTCTATTACAATTAAACCTATCAAATATTAAAATGTCTAACACAATGATGTCTGTATAATATGTACACTTCACGTTTTTACCCAAGGAGGCAGTAACGGTCACTAATGTGTGTACGCATGCGCAGTGGCACTTTACACAACCGCAATAAGCAAACATGGCGGCGGCCGTCGACAGTGTTGTGAAAGTGTAAGTTTACCTTTATTTATTGTGAGACTTAAACGAACAGCCACACATTGGTGAATGTAAAAATGATTAATCTTAATGTTACTGCCGAGTCCTGAAATGTGTAAACTTCGCATCGTCAATCTTCAATACAATATGTGTCCCAGGAGAGTAACGTTACCCACTGAGCTAATGTTAGCTTGTTAGCATTGAGCACATATAAATGAGGCGAACCCATTGTGGAGCTCTGTTTTAGCCACTTAGTATGCCTAACTTAGATACTCAAAGTGCTGTTAAACACAACATATCCAAACTATTGCTGCCATGTCGCTTGGGGATGATAGTTAATGTAGCAGAAAGCTGTCAGCTTGGCGGGTGCTTTGTTGTGTGTGACGAGAGGCTTGCTAACAATCAACCTTTTGTTCCTACATCCTCCATCGTTGTTGCTGGTGTTAGGCTTTGTAGTGAACCAAGGCTTGGCTATAATGTGTACGCTGGTAAATGCAGAGATAGCACAGTAAGAGCAACAGTCTGTGAGCAGGCTAGTACTACAATGCGACAAATTGGTTTGAAGCCGAGAATAAGTACTGCGTTTGTGATGAAGGCCACTCACTCGTGTATCATAGTAATGATACTTTTTAGATGCACCGAAAATGGCTGTTGTGTTCTCATTGTGATAATGATTTCATTGTATACAGGAAAAGATTAAAATACACAATAAATGAGTTACATTTCTAATTGCCTGACTCCAAACTATATAAGGGTCACAGTTAATAGAACCCAACTGATCAATTTAATTTTTATAGCGCCTTTCAAGAGACCCAAGGACGCTTTACAATGGGAAACAAAACAACAAAATAATAATAGTCACAAGGATACACAGGTTAGAAAATAAATAAATAATAACAACCGGTTGCTGGTCAGTTTATACAGATATATTTGTATCTTTCTATGCTTTCAGATCGGTAACATGTATTTGGTTGTGATATAACAATATTCTTTATGTATATGTCACTTATAGGCTTCATAGTTGGTTGCATGTAAGGGTTATACAAATATACTCTAGTCAGATTACAAACATATTTTTGAAGACGTTTGGTTTGATTCTCATGAAAGCTCCAGCAAGTGGCTAGTCATTTGTCAACCTTGGCTATTCAATTGAAGGGATGGTTTTCTTTTGTCAGATTTAATGTTTTTACAAGGGGATAAAGCAACACTGTATAATATATCGAAGAGGTTCCAGTATTAGTTGCCGACAAATTCAACAAAACAAGAACATTTTAAGTTGCAAAGTACTGCAATAGAGTGGATTACATAGGTAAGATTGCATATACAGTTACAGATACTACTTGCATACACTATATTGGAGCTAAATAGTGGGAGGTTTTCACACGCTGTCCATTTATGGTTATTAACAGTCTCTCTTGTTCTGTGTTATTCGACCTTGGTGTCCGACATTTACCTTTCAGGCTGGGAGAGCAGTATTACAGAGATGCCATGGAGCAGTGTCATAGTTACAACGCTCGGTTGTGTGCTGAGCGCAGCATCCTCATGCCTTTCCTGGACTCTCAGACCGGGGTGGCCCAGTCCAACTGTTACATCTGGATGGAGAAGAGACACCGGAGTGCAGGTATTTAACTAGAGCTGAGTGACAATTCAGTATTATGATTAGTTCATTCATCAGTTCATTCATGATAGGATTTTATAATCAAACCATATCACCCTTTCAATAAACGCTACATTTGTTATTAAAGTTACATATAAAAGTTCTCGTTTGATGTGAGATATTTTTTAAAAATTATTTGTATTTGGAGAGGCCATCTGTTCAGAAGACACCTTTCAATAAGGGCTGAACAATATGGAAAAAATATGTAATTGCTCATTGGGAATTATAATATCTGCATAATTATTCTCATTTTCATAAAGAAATATCTGTACATTTGTACTCAAGTCTGTACAGGGAAATTTCTAGGCCAATCCTTGCTCTTTTATTTTTACAAATATTGCGCCTCATGCTGTGTAGATATTGCACTAGTCAATAATGCTATTTCAATTAAATTCCGACTAATTGCTCAGCACTACTTTCAAGACAAATATAGACTTAACTATTTTGAGAGTGTTAAGTTCCAGAGAGCACATTTGAGTACTCCAGCTGCTGGTTCTCCTATGGCGCGTTTCCACTGCAGGCCTCGCTCGGTTTGGTTAGGCCTTATTAGGCCCGGCTCACTTTAATGCTGCGCTTCCATTACAGTTTAGGAACTGGGGTAGTTACTATAGTAACGCAGTGTAGGCGGAGCCGTGACGTCATCTTCAATGAGAGCCCCAGAAAAACAACACAGCCGTTAGCTCTTAGCACTCAGAGCTCACAGCTCCTCATATCTGTTCAGAAACTAGACAAAAGTTAAACAAGTACAAACCACAGACTGCCTGTGTCATGGCGAATACAGTCGCTGGTTTATTTATGTCTCTATAGGCCGTTGTTGTGAGTGTGGACGGTCGGAGCATATATAACGTTAGCTTAGCCAAGCTCCATTTAGAAAACACGCATTTTAAAAGGGTTTTTCGCCTGCCGTCTGTCTGCAGACTTGTCAAAGCATTAATTCATGGTTTTTACTAACCGGTATCAGTATGTTGTTACTTCGGCATCATTTTGAAACGTGTATTACAATTAAATCACGGTCAAATATGTTCATCTTGTTGTAGTTGTAGCCCCCTTGCCAGCGATTCTCTCTCTAGTTTAGCATACTCAGCCCGACTCAGCCTGGTTGTTCCTGGCCCTAGAACCACGATTTTATTGGGCCAGAAAAACTGTGAATTAGGACCAGCTAGCCGGCCCGGTACTAGGCCAAGTGGAAACGCAACCAAAAACGGGCCCCGCACGGCTCGGCACGCTTAAAGCGAGCTACCCGCTGCAGTGGAAACGCGCCACTACATGCACTGCTGTGTGTCTCCTCAGGTGTAGCTCCGGGGCAGCTGTACACCTACCCAGCCCGCCGCTGGAGAAAGAAGCGCCGCTCTCACCCCCCTGAGGACCCCCGCTTGGCCTTCCCCCCTCTCAAAGCAGGTATCCCTTTTTTTCACAAAAACAGTCCAGTTTGGTTATTTCCTCCATTAACCAGTGAAATTCTATCATATTTATTGGTTGCAAGTAGGAGCCCCTGTTCTGTGAATAATGAGTCCGTTTGTGTGTCCCTCTCTGCTCATGTCATTGCATGTGTTACCATTTTGCTTGGTGTGTATAGCAGATGTGGAGCTGGGTCTGAAGCGTGAGGCGCTGGGGCCGGTGGACGGCAGCAGTCTGGAGGCCCTTCTGAAGGGGGAGCCCGTGGATAGGAGGAGCGCTGTGTTAGACGTCCGCGCCCCTGAGGATGACTCGGCACCTGTGGAGCCCCCTGCCACCTCGGCCACCTCGGCCACCAGTCACACGTCCTCTGGGCGCATCCGCAAGGTGGGGCTCAAAGCTGGCTGAACATTCTCATTTTCTGATTATGCAACTTACATTAGAGCTTCACAGAACAGCAAATGACACGTGGAAAAGTGAACTTAGCATTTGGTCTGGACAGACTGGAAATAACTTTCAGTCACTCTAAAAGGATTTTATGGCACATTTTCTTGCCTTTGTTACAACCCGGCTCGTGGGCTGTAACATAAAGCAGGGAGGTGAAACGAGAGGTAAGAATATAAAGTTTATTTGTTTAAACACAACAACTAAATGAACACCAGCAACAAGTCCCTGAGGCTGGCACAGAGAGAGTGCCCAGAGGAGTGAGAGCGACGTAACCGGCTGGGCTCCTCCTATATCCTGTTTCAACAGGTGTAGCTCATCAGGCAGGTGTCTGTCTACTACAAATAAACACGACGTTTATCTTCTGTTAACTTGGTTTATTCAATCAACGTGCATAACACCAATACAGAGCCATTCACGAACAGTGGACCTCATGCTCCAGGTCGACACAGACTAACTGCGCATGCGTTTCACAGTTTCAAGAGGGCAACCTAGACTACCGTAAGGCCAGTAGTATAGGCGCAAAGAGATTACATGTTAACAATCTCATTCTATCTTTTTAAAGAAATAAACAAAACAAAAACAACTTTACATTGCATGAATCATAAAACAATCATACAGTGACTTAAAACAAAAATGTTTAAATTCCCTGAGTAGTCAACATAAATTAGGGAAACATTTAAGAAACAAATACATAAACAAAGGTGTTTTCAATGTTCCATTTCAACAGACACTTTAACCCAGATCCCATTGTCCTTCACTGAGTGCTTTTAAGAGCACAAGAGCCGAAGCTCCTTTTTTTGTGAGACAGTCAGCGAGCTGAGATTTTGTGTCTGACCAACGCACCTGCTTGATCCTCTTGCTCTGTATGAGCTCCTTAATGCTACTGATTTCCAACCTGAGTCTCTTCTCTGTGACTTGTTTTGTGGACTTGAGCGCATCGAACAGAGAGTGGTTATCAGTCACACAGAGTACAGGGGGTGCATTCAGTCCAGCATTTCCAGTAGTGAGCTCAGAAAATAGTGTGGCTAGAAAAATTGCATTGTCTACCCCATCTGACATGGCAAGAGTTTCCCCTGCAAGGGTACTGCGAACCACTCGTCTGATTTTCTTTGAATGCCAACAGATGGGGGAAAACTTCCCTCTTTCTCCCATAAGTGTTATAAAAGTACCTCCCTGTGTACCTCCGTCTGGGAGGTTTCCAAATGAAGCATCACTGAAAAATATCAAGTTCAAAGCATCACTGTTTCCCAGATGTTGAAATCTGAGTGTCACCTTTTCAGACTTTAGCTTACCGATTATCTTATTAGCATCATGAACAGACTGTACTGTTGCCCCTTTTATATTAGAAGCCAAACAACATGAATCAAACACTACATCAGGTCTTGTCTGTTTAGCAACCCATAGGATCTGTCCTATTTTTGATCGTAACTGCTCTCTCTCAGTTTCGTTGAGGGGTTCATTTCTCTGTGTGGCCCGACTTGCTTGTATGGGAATAGGCTCCAGGTTCTCGATATAACTTTGTTGATGTACCTGAACTTCACCGTTAACAGTTACCAAATCCATTCCTACATAGGAGAACTTTTCATGCTCCTCACGCCCAACCTTGAATGCAGACTGCAGTTGGGGGATCACATTGGATGAAAAGTTTGATGAGCCTGCCCAAAGAAAATCATCTACATGACACGCAAGCACCCCAGTGACCTTACATTGCTCATCCAACCAGTAAAAGACTGCCGGATCCACCTGTGACACTCTACCACCAGTACTCAGCATGATTTCCTTCACTTTGTTGTACCAATATAGTCATGCATCTGCAAGACCATATACACATTTCTTTAGTTTCCATACAACATGTTGACATCCTGCCTCTAGAGGGGGGCGGATATAAATATCCCTGGATAGCTCCATACCCTGCAAGAATGCAGATTTGATGTCCATAGAATGGACTTCCCACTGGTTTTGACATATCACTGATAACATAAGTCTAAGTGAATCTGTGGCACATGTGGGGGAATCTTTCGGTAACTCTTGAATATTCAGCTCTTCAAAACCTCTGGCAACCAGTCGGGCTTTAGGCACTATACCCTTGGGAGTGTCCTTAAGACTACAAACCCATCTGGTGGAAATGCATTTCTGCCCTGCATCTTCAACTTCCTCAAATACATTATTATTGTGCCAGTTCTTTATTTCTTCCTGTTTAGCTGCATCAAATGAGATGTCTTTGGTTACAAGTACATCAGCTTCTCTGTCTTCTGTTTCAATGTTGAGATTATCAACCTGTGAGATATCAATTGATTCCTTTTGCCCATCACTACCATCATTCTCTAGATGTTGCATGTTATACCAGGTTTTATATTTCCCCGTAGCCTTGCCTGATCTCCCTAAGACTCTTGCTTTAAGTAGAGTATTGTCACCTCTGTTCATATATGTTACAGTCTGTCCTGTTTTTAAACTCACACCTGCAGAAGGAGCAGGATTATTATGGGCATTAGGCCTATGCGCCATTTCAGTTTGTGTTACGCTACTCAAAGTGTTTGGAGGATCGATCGCTTCACTTGTATTGGCTTCCCTGTCACCGAATTGTTGTTCATTCTCTGTATTTTGCTCACTGTCTAAACTACCAGTTGCATTGTTTATACCTTGCTCACTTCCTGCTTCTGTGTCAGCATCATTTTGTACCATTTGCTCTTCATTAACCTTTGTGTTCACCTTGGAAAGCCTAGAGTGATGCACTCTCACTAGGCAACCACCATGCCTCACAAAAACAACAGCTCCATCCTGACTAATAACTATCCCTGGTCCTTTCCACTCAGTGCATTCAGCTCGTTTGTAATACACCTTGTCACCCATCTCATATTTCTCATCTGTGGGTCTGAGCTGCTTACGTAGTGCTCGTCTTATCCTTTCTGAGCACTCTGCTTCAGTAAATGCTTTTCTAGAGGCATGCAAGGCTGAAATGTGCTCTCCTACTCTAGCACTCATAGTGGTACCTTCTAGCGCAGGTGGTTTATCAACCAGTACAGAAGGAAGGTTGGGGTTCTGGCCAAACACCAGTTGATGAGGACTGTAGCCGTGCACATTGAGCATACTGTTCTTAGCCATGAGAGCCCAGTTTAGGGCTGTTTGCCAGTCACATCCATTTTCCCTTCTGACCTTCTGGATGATGTCGGTGAGGGTCTGATTGTGTCTCTCCAGTAGCCCATTGCTCCAGGGGCTGTATCCTGACGTGGTTTTTGTCTCAACGTTAAAGTTCTCTGCCATGTCACGGAACTCTGCATTGTTGAATTCTCCTCCATTGTCACTGTAAAGTCTCTGATCCAAGTATGAAGGAAAGAGTTCACCATCACAGAGGAGTTCTTTGTTTTCACAATGCTTCCAGCGCTGAAACGTGTAAATTGGTCAATGATGTGGAGGTACCATAAACTTGGTTCCACCTCGTGCAGGTCCACTGCCACCGTTTCATTGTACTCTGAAGCCAGAGGCAAGCCCACAGCAGGCTTCGGCTTGGTCTTGCTGTATCTGTGGCATATGTCACATTCCTGTACTATTTGTTGTAAAATAGTGTCACAATCTTTGTCTTTATTTCCCGAACTGCGGAGGAGTCGCTGTAGTCTTTCTGCAGAGGCGTGACCAAACTGTTTGTGTAGTTTCAGGAGAGCTTTGTGTTTCTCATTTGAGGTCATATTTTCTGTGACTGTAAGGACCTCATCTTCATTCTGGCTGTTTTCTGTGACTGTAAGGACCACATCTTTAATTTCAATTTGATTCATTCCTGTGTCCTTGTCTCTGATATCTATACAGTAGTGTCCTGAACTGGTGAGTTCAAGAGGGATATTCTGTTTAAACATCACAGCTCTATCATTTTCCATGTCCAAGATGGTTCCTGCCCTTTTCAGTGAAGTCTTACTCAGAAGTATCAGGTAAGTATCAGGATATCAGCTTTGACTACTTCAGTTTCCACTCGACATTTTGTCTGTCCTATTTTGGCAGGCAGTTTCAGTATTCTGGAGGAATGCACTATATTTCCATCTCCAAAACGGAATGGTCTGGAGCTTGGAGTTTCACTTTTCACAATCTGGTTCATTTGACTTTCAGCGACAAAGCTGTCCAACCATTTTTCTCCACACACTGTGCGGGTACATGCAGTGTCAATGATAGCCATCCCTAAAGACTTAGGAATACCTCTGATTCAGACAGTGAGGCTTTAGTAAACAGTGTAATGTGACATTCCTCTACCTTTGTTCGATCTTCAGTTAGCTTTACTTGTTCGCTACTCTTGTGAGGACAGTCTTTAGCCCAATGGAACGTGCTCTGACATATAGCACATTTTGATCTCTTACCGAACCTATCCAGTGGGTTGGTACCCTGTGACGGTTGCCTTTGTTGTCCAACTTGTCCAAACTGCTGCGTTGTTGGACGTCTGAATCTTCCTTGTGAGCGTTGCTCTGTGAATAACGCTTCATCGTTAACGTGTATTCCGTTTGATGTGCCGCCTTGCACTCTCCCCCCAAATATCCTCTTCAGCGCGGACTTCATTGCAGCAAATGTTAAATCTGTACACGCAGTCAGCGCCATTTGTCTATTTTTCTCGTCTAGACAAGCCGTGTCCAAAAGTTTAAAAGCTAGCACGGCGTCAAGAAGAGTCATGTCGTACTTTTTCATTCGGTTGTATCGCTGTTCAAAGTCAATCACATAGTCCGCCATGGACACGGAGCTCTCCTTTTTGATACAGTAAAAAAAATAGTAAGCATCGTATGCTCTTCTTTGAGAAACATGCCATCTAGTTTTGCTAGCAGTGTGTCCATACCATTGTTGTTGTTCAAATCCAAAGCGGGTATTTCCATGGCGATGTCCCTTGCCCTTCCTTCCAGCCCCAGGACAACGGCGAGGGCTTGTTTCTTCTTATCAAGTTCAGTAACCAGCTTCCAAATGGCGATTTCATTTTTCCAACACTCGTATGGTTGGGATTCGTCGAACTTGTGAACACCCACAAACCACACACACACAAACAGACGTTACCCCACGTGGTGTGGAGGGGTCGTCACACTCACCACATGTTTTACGGACACCTAGATGTCCCGACTGCCCATGCGCTTTTCTGAGGACCTCCTCACGAAACCTGACAGGAACCACAATCTGATACACTGGCCCACCAATGAAGCCTTTCCCACGTGACCACCACTTTCTAACCAGCAATCCCCCATGCAGCTGACAACCCCTGGTGACACCATTTCCATCCTCGGTGGAGAGAACCGCCTCAAAAAACGGACTGAGGGAGACATCCGCTTTCTGCTCCATCACCAACTCACTGCGGGATACCGACAACAGCAAGTCAGGAATAACCACCGAATCTCTCGCACTGACCTCTTCACTCTGCTCAGATTCCTCCTGTGCACGGCTCACAGCCCGTATCACAGAACAAGCCACAAACACTGCAGGAGAGCACTTGGCATTCTCCTCTGCCTTAACAGTCACAGTGGGTGAAGATGACTGCATGGTAGGCGGTGGACCCTCAGCCCACACACGGCTGCCAGCCAGGCCGTTACCCAGGATAACATCCACACCACTGATTGGCATTAAAGGACGGACCCCCATGGCGACCTCACCCTGCACCAGACCTGAGTTAAGCACAACAGAATGCAGAGGAACAGGCACAACATTCATTCCCATACCTCGCATCCGGACAAAATCCCCAGTTCCAGATTTGTCCGAAAACGGTAACACAGAGCTCAGAATATATGAGTCATACGATGCAGTGTCTCTCAAAATATTTACCGGCACGCTGATATCACTTCCCACCAATGACACGTATCCGGTTGACACAAATGCAGAAAACACTGGGTCCTTCCACCCACATGGCTCATTAATCTGCTGGCAGGGAGAGATAACAGGTAACGGCACCACAGACACAGCACAAGCAGCAGAGTTAAACTGGCCTGCACAGTTCCCCCTTTTAGCCTTAGCTTTTGGACAGTCAGCCTTCCAGTGCCCTCTCTCCCTGCAGAAATGACAGATTTCCGAATCACCCTCTGGCTGACCTCGCATCTCACGCTCACCCCAGTGCGGATTAGCTTTCTCTTCCCATCTCCCTGCACGATACATACCCCCTTCATCCTGGACCCTGAAGTCGCGACCGCCTCTGTGCGTTAGCACATAATCATCTGCAGAGCAGCAGCCTCTGCAGCAGTTTTCACCTTACGCTCGCTGATGTAAACCGCAATGTGGCTGGGCACAGAATTTTTAAATTGCTCCAACACCATCAACTCGCATAATGCGACATACGTATCCACTTTCAAAGAGTTACACCACCTACCGAAAAAAGTAACCAGATCCCTGGCAAACTCAACATGGGCCTGTCCGCTAGACTTCTCCCAGGACCTGAACCTCTGTCGATATGCCTCAGGGACCAACTCGTAAGCCTTCAACACAGCAGTTTTAACCATTAGATACACTTTGCTGTCCGCCACCGTTAAAGCAGAATAAGCTTCCTGGGCCCTACCTGTTAGCACACACTGCAGCAATAAGGTGCTATTAGTATCTGACCACTCTCTGCTCTCAGCCACACGCACAAACAAGGAGAAAAATGTATCTGGATCTCGTTCATTAAACTGAGGCACAACCCGCAGATTACCGGCAACGTCAAATGGAGTTGCTCTACCAGGGAAATTAGAGGCCTGACTTGCACCACCAGCAGGAAAACCCAACCTCCGCTCCTCTAACTCAAGCCTTTTAAGTTCTACCTGCAACATTAACAGTCTCTCTCTTTGTTCAAAAGTCAGGTCTGCATCACGACAGCCAGACTCGTTGACACTGTCTCTGCCAGGATCAACAGTAATTTTTCCCCCTTTGAAAACACCTAACTCGAACAGATTTGCCCTAACAATCTCTCTTATGTTTTCCTTCATCCTCTTATCCCCAACATCCAAGCGGAAATGTTCAGCCACACAGACCAGCTGCTCACGTGAGAAGCCCTCCAGTACCTCCTCTGTAAGCGCTCTCACAAACTCCTCCACACTCTCCATCATGACAACACTGAGTGCACGCTCACGCTCCTACACAGCCACGCTACTGGGGCCCGTCCCTCTAACTGCCTCACAGAAACTAGCTAAACTCCCCGCTAGTCTTCAGGTGCTAGTTATGGCGGGTACTTACGCACTAAATACTGTAAGCTCGGCGAAACGACCGAAAAAACCGGCAACTCCACCCGCAGCCTCGGCGTGCTCCCGAGCTAATAGCTCTAACCACTTTCACACCACACTACAACCCCCCTCTACGACCTCCAAGGGAGACCGTACTAGACCTAACAGGGACAATACCAACGGTACGTGACTGCCGTGAATAAAATAATCCGTGTGCCACCCTTACTGTCGTTCACAACGAAACACTTACCCTCGTCAAGACTACTCCCAAACAACCAGCTGTGCGCCCCATCACGGCCCACTGCTCGTAACACGCTACAGCTGTGTATTAAGTTCTTCTCTGTTCACAACACAACAACTCCATTTTCGAAAGGTACCTCCGAAACGACCAGGTTCAACCACGAGCCCCCATATGTTACAACCCGGCTCGTGGTCTGCAACATAAAGCAGGGAGGCGAAACGAGAGGTAAGAATATATAGTTTATTTGTTTAAACACAACAACTAAATGAACACCAGCAACAAGTCCCTGAGGCTGGCGCAGAGAGAGTGCCCAGAGGCGTGAGAGCGACGTAACCGGCTGGGCTCCTCCTATATCCTGTTTCAACAGGTGTAGCTCATCAGGCAGGTATCCTCCCACAGGTGCGGCTCATCAGCACCTGAACCTGTGAACACCCACAAACCACACACAAACAGACGGCACCCCACGTGGTGTGGAGGGGTCGTCACACCTTATCTGGTAATAACTGCCCTAAGATTTTAGCTTCTTGATTGAATTTATTTCTTTAAGTCGCTACTAGTCTGGGCTGATCTTTTTTTGAACTGTTTGATGATAATACAAAACATTTTAATCGTTTTTTGGGAACATGAATAACTCCAATAGAAAAAAACGGAAATACATCTTAGAGTAAAGTTAATCCAAAGTATCAAACTCAAAATGTAAAGAATGTCCTCACAGTGAGACCTAATCCAGCCCCTCTCCCTGCAGCGAGTCCTTGACCATGACGACTACTTGGACGACCTTGATGATGATGACTTTGAGGACGAGACCCCCAAGAGACGAGGCAAGAGCAAGTCCAAGGTGAGTACTGCCTCTCCTTCTGCAGTCAGTTCCCCATAGAATTGTAGTTTCAGTAGTGTACTATCTGTCAACTGTAATATGGATTCTACAGGGTCGCAGTGACAAGAATGGGAAGAAAAAGCAGGAAGCTGCTGCCGCGGCGCTGGAGGAGAGGGACAAACCGTACGCCTGCGACAGTGAGTAGGAGCTTCCTTTGCATCGTGTGTGTGTCATGCAAGCAAGGCTTTAGATTTTACCTCTGAAAGTCAAAAACAAGCCTTCTACCATGCATGGTTTAACCTGAAAGGACCCCACCTACAACTTATGCTTGTAAACAATTTGAAAGGCTGCCCGCCCAAATGCATTTTTTATTCTTCCTGAGATGCCGCTCTGTGTATGCTGTGTTTAACATCCTGCTGGCTCACTGTGCAAATGCTTGTCTCTGCTGAGTTTGCTTCAAAAGCGCGTCAGTCAAATATTAACCATGTGAAAATAAGTTTAGAAATAGAAAAGTAAAGCCGGTTGTAGGGCGATGAACGGCATAGGGTGTGTGTCCGCTTCGGGCCTTCTGGACGGTGATAATAACAATCCGCCATCACTATAACTGTTTTGTATGACCGTGTGTGTGTGTGTGTGTGTGTGTGTGTGTGTGTGTGTGTGTCAGTTTGTGGGAAGCGCTACAAGAACCGTCCTGGCCTGAGCTACCACTATACACACTCTCACCTGGCAGAGGAGGAGGGCGAGGACCGCGAGGAGATCGAGGCACCACCCACTCCTCGCCAGCCTGAGGAACCGAAGAGTGAGTCACTCTCTTGTGCTGAGAGAGGGGGGGGGGGGGGGTTGGGTGCATGCTGTGTAGCATGTGTGTGTTTGTACAGGGGAAGTGTCTCTCTCATTCTTTTTGTTTTTTGTACCGCTGTTTTCATTTTTTGGATTTTGAATCTCATAGCTGGGATTAAACTCAGTGTTCCTCTCTGGGACACTGACATAGCATCCATCGGTGTTTTTTTTCCCCCCCAAACATATCCATTGCATTGTTTTCTTTAGTGCACGCAACTCCGTGTTAGTACATCCATTCAAGTGCGTTTTGTGAGTTGTCACTCATTCTTTAGTTTGGATCATGGGTTAGATCAATCATCTGCCAGTTACTGAGCTAAAAAGCTGGTGTTGGCTGAACAGGTTTGTAAAACAGTGCTTCAATATTTTAAATATTTGATTTATAAACAGTTTTTCTATGCATGGAACTATTGATGTAACTCAGCTTTATATCTCAATTCAAAATGACAGTTTTAATGTACACTAAAGGTTTTCTTCACTCTTTCTCCCGCTCAGCACCTAAAAAGGGTCCCAACGGGCTGGCTCTGCCCAACGACTACTGTGACTTCTGTCTGGGAGACTCCACTATGAACCAGAAGACCGGCCAATCAGAGGGGCTGGTGTCCTGCTCAGACTGTGGACGCTCAGGTGCTCTCGTCGTGTTCATTTCACCACTGTCACTAAGCCCCTCTTAGTTACTGTTGCCATGCCTTTTCACTCATGGCATGGTTATTTGTATCTTCCTTGACAACATTTCTCCCCCCCCCCTGCAGGCCACCCCACATGCCTGCAGTTCACCCCCGTGATGATGGCTGCAGTGAAGACCTACCGCTGGCAGTGCATCGAGTGCAAGTGCTGCAACGTCTGCGGCACCTCGGAGAACGACGTGAGACCCATTATCTGTTGTTGCTGACTATATACTAATTAAGTATACACTAACTTTTTTTGTAATTTCTCTTTCATGGAAAATTGGAATACAAATGTATATTCATAATAACATTTTGACAGTTAAATAACCTAGATGTTTTCAAAAACTGAATGAATCATTATAAGGGTTCAAAGAGTGAACCAAGAAGGCTGGTTCTCACCTATCAAAACAAAATCCCCAGACATGTTTCTGAACAACTGTGTGACATCTGAAGATGGAGAGATGTGAAACGTTTTCCTCTTGTCCAATCATGGACATCACACCAACGCGTTTTCAGCTCCGGCTCGGAGCTGGAGCCTGAAAAGTACCGTTTTTTCCTGTTCACACCGCAGAGGCGCCGCCTCTTAGCTCCGGAATCCGGTTCACTTCCAGCTCCAAAAAATTGTCAGTCTAGAGGAAAGAGCTTCGGAGCTAAGAGGCGGCGTCGCTTACGTCTCTCTTACGTCGAGGCGGGGGCAGGGGCAGAGAAGAAGTCTTGCATTTCGCATGTGATGTTTGTAAAGTTTCAAGTAAAGTCGTCCCTTGTAAAGTCGTCCGATGCCTTCCATTTAGTTTCGTAAGAGGATAACCAAAGCGAACAGCGCTTCAATACAATCGGCCATTGTTGTTGTTGTCGATGTGAGGGATTTCCGCGCAGTTTGGATTTTATGATAAACGGTGACGTCATGACGCAGCAGCGGCAGCTCTGGGCGGTGTGAACAGAGCGGGAGCAGAAAGGGGAAACCGGAGCTGAACCAGAAAAGCTCCCGCTCGGAGCTAGAAAGGGAAAAGCGCTGGTGTGAAAGCCGCATCAGTGGACTCAACATGATGTTGTGTGTTTGCAGGACCAGCTGCTGTTCTGTGATGAACTGTGGACCGAGGTTACCACATGTACTGTCTAAGCCCCCCCATGACTGAACCACCAGAGGGTAAGCTCACACTGCACACTGACAAGTTAACAAGATCAACCTTCAAAAGCTGCAAACATCTTTTGTTTGGTATGGCTACTCATTCCTCAATTGTTGCCATTAGCCTTTCTAAAAAACATAACCAAACACTTATTTGGCCGTGTGTGTGTGTGTGTGTGTGTGTGGGTGTGTGTGTGTGTTGGGTGGTTGGCGTTGTGTGTGTGTTGGGTGGTTGGTGTTGTGTGTGTGTGTGGTGTGGTGTGTGTGTGTGTGTGTGTGTGTGTGTTGTGTGTGTGTGTGTGTGTGTGTGTGTGTGTGTGTGGTGTGTGTGTGTGTGTGTGTGTGGTGTGTGTGTGTGTTGTGTGGTGTGTGTGTGTGTGTGTGTGTGTGTGTGTGTGTGTGTGTGTGTGTGAGTGTGTGTGTTGTGTGGTGTGGGTGTGGTGTGTGTGTGGGGTGTGTGTGTGTTGTGTGTGTGTGTGTGTGTGTGTGTGTGTGTGTAGGGAGCTGGAGCTGCCACCTGTGCCTGGTCCTGCTGAAGGACAAAGCCTCCATATACCAGCAGAACCAGGGCTCCAGCCCCGAGTGACATCATATCAACAAGCCCCGCCCCTGATGGAAACGTCAGACCTCCTCTCAGTCCGGAGCTCCAGGAAATGTCCAGATGTAGCTGAGCAGATCGCAGATCAGCTTTAGAAGTCTTAATATCTTCAGTGGGGGGTCAAACTATAACTACCAGTCTGCCTGCAGAGCCCGAGGCTCCCGTCAAACACATATTGTGCATATAAATACAATATAGACACACACACTCTCTCCTGGACTGTTACACACACTAGAGACAGAAGGCATGCAGTAACCATAGTAACTGCTGTCTCCATGGAAGCTCCCAGGAGCAAACGGATTAGCATCACAGCTAATTATCTGCACCCTCTATGACACAGAGCTGACTGTCGAGACAACACCGTTTCTTTTTCTGCCAAATTATCTATTTTGTACTCCCTTAATGTGGGAGAAAGAATAAACACACCACATATACAGATGAGGAACATAATTATTATTACTATTGTTATTGTTCTGGTTACTAGTGGACTTTTGTAGTGGCATTTGTCTGTGTACTTTTGTCTGATCCATCAATCTTTTTAAGAGGTTTCCCTGAGCGGAGCCGGTCAGTGCCAAGGTCCACCCTCACATGAAACACACGACAAAGATGGTAACAAAAAGTCTTAATTTCTTTGCCAACAAAACCATTGGCTTTGACTCGTTAAGCTGTTAGCACAACTCTTTGGCCTTGCTATTTTAGGGTTGCACCGAAACCACCCTCTCATCTCTGATGCTGTTACTGGATTGATCAGTTACTTCAACCAAACACTATACGACATACTGTAAGTTGAATATTTCGTAAAATACCGGTCTTCAATTTAGTTTCGAGTTAACATTCTCTTATTTTGAAAAACCTGACTGTCAGCTGATGCTGTTTTTATGGGGAGGAAACTGACCAATACATGAGATTTGTAATCATCAGGTGCATCCTTTTCTATCACTTGTTTCGTGCTTTAAAAAACAGTTTGGCAGTGACATCACACGTCATTTTTAAACAGCTGCTGTCAAACCCATGACACACATAATCATTTACAAACTGTAGCTGCTTTTATCGTTTGTCACACAGGCAGATTTGCATGCATATTGCACCTGTATGAATGCACACACTCACACCACAAGTGTTTTCTTTTTCGTTGTACGTTTTTTTATTTTTACATTTTATATTACCTGATATTCCATTGGTACTGGGAGTTTTTCTAGTAGAATTTTGTAAAGTCTATGGTATAGCAAACACTTCAAGTATATAGCTCCTATTGCATTCTATGTACTGTATTGACTTTTTCTATTTTTGTTATGACTGTGACATTTATTTGATTATTCTGATATGTCAGACCTCCATTTTGAGTATTTGTAAAATGATGTACTTTGTTGTACTATTTTTATTTTTTCATTTCTTTGGTATCAAAGCCGATTTAGCCTGACTGAAATAAAAATCACTTTGAATAACGTGTCCATTGCAATTGATTTAACTGCATCATTTTCACAGTTGTCCTTGCAGGTGTTTAAATGTGGGGCCAGCTTCTGAAGGGGGCGCTCAGTTTGTGTCTCTACCAAAATCACTGAAGAAAGTGTCAAATGCGCGCACTAAAAAAGTGACTAAAATGTAACCCAAAATAAGTGTTTGGAGAAACATCTTTACTGTTGGTACAAAACAAAGTCCAAGAGTGCTTTTATACTAAGAGAAAATACTCTATTTTGAAGAGATTGAGGTTATATTAGAAACTGTAATGTTTACAATCAGTATGTTATATGTTACGTAATGACTGTCCATTATGTGTCCACGAGTTTGACCCTGGGACAGCTAGCTCTATGGAGCCTGGAGAGTGTTCAGAGCTGGTGCTGAAGAGCTGCAGGTCACAGCTCCATGTGACCCTGAACTACAGTCACTTGGTTTGTTAACATGGTACACCATTACCTGCAGAACCTATCCATACAGCATGCTTTCAGTTCCCATTAATACTACTGGAAAGTAAGTAATAGGCACAATATGTAACAAAGGAAGCTGCTTGAGACCGAGCTGACGTCTTAACAACTGAAGGTTTTTTTAAAATGTTGATCAAGGACAATGGAGGATTGTGTGTCCATGCTGTACCCACCATCAATCCTGCTAATCTCTACTTTTTCTGGATATTTATCTGACTCTCAGATGGGCAGATTACACTTTGCTTTGACCCAAGAGAAGAGGCTGCCACCTGAAGAAAAGTCACAGCTGTATCCTGATGCAGAACCACAAGTCAACTTATTTCAGTTGTTCTGGGAGTGCGTTGTTTAAATGGCTGTGATCCTGATAGGGCATGATATAAGCAGCTTGTAATGTTCTCCACTGGTATCACTCAATCCCACCTTGCTGGGAAATGTTGAATGAAGGAAGGAAAAGCCTCACAGAACAACAACATTTTTTATTTCACTCAACAGCACACACACTCAAATACTTTCTCCAGACACAGACATTCAAAAACACCTTGTAGCATAAAGTCGCTTTTGTTCCAGCACAAAAACACAAATGATATGCTGAGAAGCTTTGAGGACAAAGAGAGAGAGAGGGGGGCGCAAAGACAACAGTGGCTTAGTGCAATTATCTGGAGCGTGATGATCAGCCATGCTACGCTGAGTACAACTACAGCCACAAAGGCGTGATGAAAACATAAAATAAGTTCATGCACTGAGAAGCCACTATATAAGCTTACATGTGTCATCATAGGCCTATGAGGTTACTTGTGGCAGTCGTTGAGTATTAATAAGTAAACTAGCACACTTTGGGGTTTCTCACACTATTCTTGGTGTCAGAATAAAAACGCAATACATTAGTTTTGAGTAGTGCATAATGCATTTGGGTCTGGGCTGCAGGTGCTCGGTACAAAACTGTAAAATACTCAGTTATCAAAGGTAAACATGTCGCCTTCAGGAAGCCGGTGTCATAGTAACGCTGCTTTAACATGTACAGCCACCGCAAAGTGAAAAAAAAATCGCCCATCTCTACATTGATGAAGAATGGCAGCAAGTGAAGCTAGAAAACAAGTTGGACCAGTTGTGTGTGCATCCTTTGTGTGGGGGTGTGTGTGTGTACGAGGAGTTCCTCTACAGCCTCTCGAAGCCCACGGAGCAGAGGAGGAAGAGAACGTACAGCAGAATGAGACAGAAGCCCAGCCGGCGGTCCAACTTCCAGCCGTTCAGATGGACACACAGGACCTGAGGAGGGACGACCGGAGAGACAGACAGCTTCATGTCACTGCACTGCACTAAATATATATTAAAATCACAATTTAATTCCCAGAACATAAAAAAATGAAGACAAGAGCGCTCGGGCAGGAAAGATTACAAAATCATAATGTTATGTTTATGGCAAACATGTTAGAAAGTTCATCCTAAGCTCCTATAATAAGTCTATAATAAACAGTGCAGGCAAACCCTTAAGGACATGGATGTCCCCATTATGTGTCTACAGTATATTTCTATATATTCTTGTAGCAAAGTGAGACTATATATTGTAGAGTACACAATGTATTCAATATTTCGTTATAATGTGTATTATTTAGATACTCTAGGGATATATGTATTTTCTATTGTGAATTTGTATATACTTCTTGCTAATTGTAATTTTTAATTTACATTTTTATTCTTGCTATTTATACTTGCAGCTAATATTAATTGGGAAATCTGTATTTGTTTTTTATTGTATCTTTTAAACATGTTTTACTCCTGTAATGCTTGATACTGCTGCTGGAACTAAACTAAACTAAATAAAGTATCTATCTATTTATTAACAACATGAAACCACAATTGAAAGTCATTTTTTAACTGACTAAAATTGCATCAAATCCAGTGTTGTTTCTCGTTATGCTGATTAAGATAAGATCTTTAATTTTTCATTGTACAAGTACAACGAAATTATAATAATAGTTAATTATTGCAGATTATGAAAAAATGAACTATTTAGTATTTAGTTCACAGATCAAAATTCTGAATAATAAATTCATATTTGGCCGTAATGCTCAGGACTGAAGTTGTATGAAGGATTTGGAAGTGGAAAATAAAACTATAAAACATCATATAATGGCTTTTTATTTTACGTGGACAGTTTTGTCCACTAACGACATCAGAGCAACATTTATTTGACCCTCGTGCCTCACCTTGAAAAACATGAGGCACGAGGGTCAAATAAATGAATTTGAAGGTAACTCACAGTGAGCACGACTGAGGCCAGCAGCAGGATCACTGAGTACACCAGGCCTCTGCTGTTGATCGTCACCTAAAAAACAGAGATGACAAATGATTACCTTGTTTGTAAATCTCAGCAAGATAAATCCCTATATATCGGTCCATCAAGAGAGTTGAGATATTTCGAAGATAATGGTCCAGTCAGCTGTATGAGATATGAGGTAGAGAGACTGCTGGAGTTACCACTGATCCGTAGCTGACGATGAGAGTCCTCAGCGCCCAGGGGAAGCCCAGGCCCAGCAGCACATCGAAGATGTTACTGCCAATCGAGTTGGACACGGCCATGTCGCCCATCCCTGCCATTTTTGAGATACACACAATGTAAAATGATATTAAAATATCTAGTGCTAAGCACGGTTGTTATAGTAAACCAAAACAAAAATAAGCTGTAAAGGTTATTGTTGTAAACTGTAATAAAAACAATACCACTGCCAAAAAAGGAGCAGCATTCATTTTTGACTCTTTTTGTGTCATTGATCAGAAATTGTACGGGCTTTAAATTCCAGGAGATGGCGCTGAACTGCAAGTTCTTCACTATTAATCCCTTGTTTTTTTACAAATAGGTAAGAAGGACATTATTTAAATATTGTCTTAGATAAACTGTTCACATCTCAATATAAAACATAATAACTTAAGAAGTAATGATGCAGTGAGATATAGAGTCTTTTCACACGGCACAAGCTTTTAAGCTACTGTTGCATTTGTAAAAGATGGATCATTTTTTTTCAATAAATAAATCTTACTTGATTTTAGAAAACAAATTTACATTGGAAAATCACCAACTGACCTAACCTCAGAAAACAGAATTATTTCTGGCCTCTTTTGTAACACAACATTTCCTTATTATGGTAAAATGTAGTTTATACGTTTTTCCAGTTTATTACAAGATATAATTTATCTAAATATATCTTCTTATTTCAAGAAATCGTACCGAGCTAAAAACACCTTGTTTTCATTTTTTGTTTTACTTGTTTTTGGAGCAGCCTTTTTCCCAGCGCTCAGGGTGGAGGCATTAAAATGACATGACATCCAGTCCGGTGCTTCAGTTTTCAGTCTAAAATGAACATGCGAGACCATTCAATATTCAACACACACACACACACACGCACACACGCACACACACACACACACACACACACACACACACACACACACACACACACACACACACACACACACACACACACACACACACACACACACACACACATACCATGTATACATCCCTTCAGGGGACATTACATTGACTTACATGCATTTCCTGGAGACTTATCCTAACCTTAACCATAACCATAACCAACACATGCCTAACCCTAACCCTTACCCTAATCCTAAACCTAACCAAGTCTTCACCCTAAAAGTAATGATTCCCCTCATGGGGACCTCCAATTTGTCCCCATAAGGGAGGCGAGTGCCCACATGTGACTGTGTAAACAGATTTAGGTCCCCACAAGTATAGTAATGCTAGGCCACACATACCCCCCCCCCCCACACACACACACACACACACACACACACACACACACACACACACACACACACACACACACACACACACACACACACACACACACACACACACACACACACACACACACACCTTGTCGGGCGACGATGAGGCTGGCCAGGCAGTCAGGGACGCTGGTGCCGGCGGCCAGGAAAGTGATGCCCATGAGAACTTCTGGGATTCCAAGTGTGTTGCTGATTATGGTCATCTACACAAAGACACAAGGGAATGAGGCAGTGCATGTGTGTGTGTGTCTGTTTGTTTGCGTCTGTATATGTGTGTTTGTGTGTATGTGTGTGGTTGCATTCATTACCATCCAGACCATGAGGTAAGAGTAGAGCGCGATCCAGAGCGTGGAGGACAGGAAGCTGAGCAGGTACCAGCGCTCCCAGCGCGGCAGGCTGCAGTCGGGGATGGTGAAGTAGAGCAGGACGCTGAGGGGCCAGGAGAGGAGCCACCTCAGCCGCAGACACACACCCTCTGAGGAGATGATGGAAACACACACACACAAACACACAAGTTTCCCACAGGGATCATTACAGATTTATCTAAAATCCTAAATTATTGATGCGGCACGGCCTGTGAATCTGAGTATCATCACTTCTTAATTAGCTCCATTAGCAATGAGTCCATCTAAAGACACTGAAAAACAGGGAGGAGAGAGCTTGTGTTTTACAGTAGCCTCGATGATGTTAGTCTAAGCTATCGGTGACAAACCCTACT